TAAATGTGATTTAACCCGGTGAATAAACAGGATTATCTCAGTTGAATTCATTGAATCCTATCACACAATATAAACCAAGTTATCTTCTAATGAATCAGGACGTCATGGGACTACGCTTCTCTCTTCATTCCTTCAACCTTTATTTAAACAGCGTGACTTTGCATGTTTTTGTATATTTTATTGAATCTTTTGTTGTTTTTTTATAGATGTTGTTATATATGTTTTGTCTCCTCCGCGAATCGCCACCTTAACGTGGTGGAGGAGTTTGAGTGGCTCAGTGATCCTGGAAGCTATGTTGTCCGGGGCATTAGCCCCTGGTAGGGTCTCCCAAGGCAAACAGGTCTCGGGGGAGAGCCCAGACTCAGAGCGGTTCAAACGACCCTAATGATAAGCAGCCCACGGACTTTAGCCACCTCGCCTGGACCAGGGAAACCGGGGCACCCTCCCGGAGCCAGACCCAGGAGGGGAGCTCGTCGGCAAGCGTCTGGTGGCCGGGCCTTCGCCCATGGGGCCCGGTCGGGCTCAGCCCGAATAAACAGCATGGAGCAGCCACCCTGTGGACCCACCACCCACAGGGACAAGCATCGGGGTCGGGTGCAATGCAGACCGGGTGGCGGGTCAGGCGGGAGGCCTGGGCGAGCCGATCACCGGCAGCATAGACTTGCTCTAGGGGCGTGGAACGTCACCTCGCTAGCGGGGAAAGAGCCAGAGCTGGTGCAGGAGGTGGAGCGATACCAGCTAGATATAGTTGGACTCGCCTCCACACAGCGCTGGCTCTGGAACCAAGCTCCTGGAGAGAGGTTGGACTTTGTCCTTTTCCGGAGTTGCCCAGGGTGAGAGGCGCCAGTGGGTATACTCACGAGCCCCCGGCTGAGCGCCGCTGTGTTGGAGTTCTCCCCGGAGAACGAGAGGGTCGCCTCCATGCGCCTACGGGTTGCGGGGAGCAAGGCTCTGACTGTGGTTTGTGCTTACGCACCAAACAGCAGTTCAGAGTATCCGGCCTTCTTGGAGTCGGTGGGAGGGGTCCTGGAAAGGGCGCCACCTACTGACTCCATAGTTCTCCTGGGGGACTTCAATGCTCACGTGGGCAATGACAGAGAAACCTGGCGGGGGGTGATTGGAAGGAACGGCTTGCCCGATCTGAACCCGAATGGTGTCTCGTTATTGGACTTCTGTGCTTGTCATGGTTTGGCCATAACGAACACCATGTTCGAACAAAAGGTGGGTCATAAGTGTACCTGGTACCAGAACACCTTAGGCCAGAGATCAATGATCGACTTTGTAATCGTATCATTTGATTTGCGGCCGTATGTCTTGGACACTCGGGTGAAGAGAGGAGCAGAGCTGTCAACTGATCACCACCTGGTGGTGAGTTGGATCAGATGGCAGGGGAACCGGTTGGAAAGACCCGGCAAGCCCAAACGTGTAGTGAGGGTGAACTGGGAACGTCTGGCGGAGGACCCTGTCCGGGAGGTCTTTAACTCCCACCTCCGGAAGAACTTCTCACACATCCCGAGGGAGGTTGGGGACATGGAATCCGAATGGACCATGTTCAAAGCCTCTATTGTGGACGCGGCCGCTAGGAGCTGTGGCCGGAAGGTCATCGGTGCCTGTTGTCGCGGCAACCCGAGAACCCGGTGGTGGACACCGGAGGTGAGGGAAGCCGTCAAGCTGAAGAAGGAGACCTTCAAGGCCTGGTTGGCCCAGGGGTCTCCCGAAGCAGCTGACAGGTACCGGCAGGCCAGAAGGGCTGCAGCTGCGGTGGTCGCGAATGCTAAAACTCGGGCATGGGAGGAGTTCGGGGAGGCCATGGAGAAGGACTTTCGGTTGGCCTCAAGGAGGTTCTGGCAAACCATCCGACAGCTCAGGAAGGGAAAGCAGGGCTTACCCCAGGCTGTTCTCAGCAGGGGGGGGGAACTGCTGACCCGGACAGGGGACATCGTCGGGCGGTGGAAAGAGCACTTTGAGGAACTCCTAAACCCAACCAACATGTCCTCTGCAGAGGAGGCAGCGCCTGAAGATCTCGGGGGAGGCTCACCCATATCCCTGGCAGAGGCCGCTGAGGTAGTCAAAAAGCTCCTTGGTGGCAAGGCGCCGGGGGTGGATGAGATCCGCCCTGAGATGCTGAAAGCGCTGGACATAGTTGGGATGTCCTGGCTGACACGCCTCTTCAATGTCGCATGGGGGTCAGGATCAGTGCCCATGGACTGGCAGACCGGGGTGGTGGTTCCCATTTTCAAAAAGGGGGACCGGAGAGTGTGCTCGAATTACTGGGGTATCACACTACTCAGCCTCCCGGGGAAGGCTTATGCCAGGGTGCTGGAAAGGAGGCTCCGACCGTTTGTCGAACCTCAGATTCAAGAGGAGCAATGCAGATTCCGTCCCGGCCGTGGAACAGTGGACCAGCTCTTTACCCTCGCAAGACTACTGGAGGGGTTCTGGGAGTTTGCCCAACCAGTCTACATGTGCTTTGTGGACTTGGAGAAGGCTTTCGACCGGGTCCCTCGGGGGGTCTTGTGGGGGGTGCTGCGGGAGTATTGGGTGCCGGACCCGTTACAACGGGCGATCCGGTCTCTGTACGACTGCAGTAGGAGCTGTGTCCGCATTCTCGGCAATAAGTCAGACATGTCCCCGGTGGGTGTTGGCCTCCGCCAGGGCTGCCCTTTGTCTCCGGTCCTGTTCATGACTTTCATGGACAGGATATCTAGGCACAGCCTGGGGGTGGAGAACGTCAGGTTCGGGGGTCTCGGGATCACCTCTCTGCTGTTTGCAGATGATGTGGTCCTGTTAGCCTCCTCGGATCGTGACCTCCAGCATTCACTGGGGCGGTTTGCAGCCGAGTGTGAAGCGGCGGGGATGAGAGTTAGCACCTCCAAATCTGAGGCCATGGTTCTCTGCCGGAAACCGGTGGATTGCTCCCTCCAGGTGGGGACGGAGTGCCTACCTCAAGCGAAGGAGTTCAAGTATCTCGGGGTCTTGTTCACGAGTGAGGGTAAGATGGAGTGGGAGATCGACAGGCGGATCGGTGCGGCTGCAGCAGTAAAGCAGGCGCTGCAGCGGACCATCTTGGTAAAGAGGGAGCTGAGCCAGAAGGCAAAGCTCTCAATTTACCACTCGGTCTACGTTCCTACCCTCACCTATGGTCACGTACTCTGGGTCGTGAACGAAAGGACAAGGTCGCGGCTACAAGCGGCCGAAATGAGCTTCCTCCGTAGGGTGGCCGGGCTCAGCCTTAGAGATAGGGTAAGGAGCTCGGTCATCAGGAGGGAGCTTGGAGTCGAGCCGCTACTCCTTCGCGTCGAAAGGAGTCAGCTGAGGTGGTTCGGGCATCTAATTAGGATGCCTCCTGGACGCCTCCCACTGGAGGTTTTCCAGGCACGTCCAACTGGGAAGAGACCCCGGGGAAGACCCAGAACACGCTGGAGGGATTACATCTCCAAGCTGGCCTGGGAACGCCTCGGGATCCCCCAGAATGAGCTGGAACATGTTGACGGTGAGAGGGAGGTCTGGGTCAGCCTGCTTGGCCTGTTGCCACCGCGACCCGACCCCGGATAAGCGGAGGCAAATGGATGGATGGATGGATGTTTTGTCTCTTAATTTAAGTTCAGGTTGCTGTTGCAGATAAACACAAGTCAAATATGTACACACACACATATATACTGTACATGTGTGTATATATATATATATATACATGTACAGTATATATGTATATATATATACTGTATGTATATATTTGACTTGTGTTTATATATATATACACACACATATACAGTATATATATATAACTCTTTGTTAGAGGACCTAAAGTCACTCAAGAGACCTGTGACAACATCTATTAGCATCACTGTCTCTCCCTGTCCATTCAACTTCATGTCTACAGGATGGGGGGGAATGACGAAAGAAAACAAGGAAAGGAAAGAGTGGACTAGCTGAGGAGAGGAGACAAGGAGTGGAAATGAGGAGTCTCCTGAAACATTTATTAATAATGATCAATTTAAAGAGGATCATCAATATTATCAATCCAATCAATATCAATATGACGGTTTGTGTCTCTCGTCTACAGACGTTTGGGTTCGTCTTTCTTAAAGCTCGTCTCTGGGGACACCTGGACCCACCTGGACCCACTTGGACTAGAATGAGACCTGCTGAGAAGCAGCGAGTCTCTCTAGCTCTAAGTTTATTATTAAACTCACACAGAGCAACAGCTCCTCCTTGTGGTCATCTGCACAGTCTCTGGAGATTCATAACAAAAGTGTGCTCATCTTTTCTTTGTATAGAATGTGTATATAAATATAATACAAATAAATAATGTATGGTATGATGGAGGTGGTTTATTGTGCTGCAGGTTTTGACTGCAATAAAAATATTCTCTTCAGAAAGTATCAACACATCAAGTACACGACAAATACATATAAAACACAACTACAGACCTCATTTAAATAAACTGATTGGAACAAATCAATGAAGACAGTAGTGGTAGTAGTAGTAGTAGTAGTACTACTACTACTAGTAGCACTAGTAGTAGTAGCAGTAGTACTAGTAGCAGTAGTAGTAGCAGCACTAGTACTAGTAGCAGTACTAGTAGCAGTAGTACTACTACTAGTAGTACTAGTACTAGTGGTACTAGTAGTAGTACTAGTAGTAGCTGTAGTAGTAGCACTAGTAGTAGTACTAGTAGTAGTACTAGTAGCTGCAGTAGTAGTAGTACTAGTAGTAGTAGCACTAGTAGTAGTAGTAGTACTAGTAGTAGTACTAGTAGCTGCAGTAGTAGTAGTACTAGTAGTAGTAGCAGTAGTATAAGGTCTCACTTATTGATGACGTCTCCGGGTTCACTCACACCTGCTCAGGTGATTTGTTGACAGACGTCCTTTTTGGATTTATTGATCGACTGAGACGATTAGTTGACTAACTGATTAAACCATCTCCAGAGAATTATAGGGACTTTATTATAACGTCAAAGATGTTTAACTTTCACTGGTTCCAAAAACACATACTTCTGACACATTTCAGTCTTTTATTAAGCAAACTTTAATATCTTTCACATACAGCATGTTCCACATCTTGTTTATAGAACGAGCAACTAATCGATTAATAGAGATAATAAGAATAATCATTTGTTGCCTTCAGAGGGATAAAACCTAAAAAATATAAAAGTATGAACAATAACGTGAAGATCTTACAAACTGTTTCATGTCTTTGTTTCCGTCGGCTGAAGCTCAGGAAACAAAACCAAACTAGAGCTGAGTAACTTTAATCAGAGCCATAGAGCTTCATCAACAGAACCCCGAAGACGTCAGGTCTGAATTACAGCTGCTGTTAAAAATAAAACATCTTTCTGTTGATGAGCAGCAGGTTTCACACGTTAGTGAAGTCTCATCTTAGGTCCAGTCCACTCTAGTCTACTCTAGTCCACTTCCAGGTCCATCTCAACCGATGGACTCGTTAGTCCAGCGTGCAGAGTAACGAGGGAGAGGAGGAGGACCTCTCCTTCTGTCCTCCTCTGGAGGAGCACATCTGGACCTCCTGTCCTGTGGAGGAGGATACCTGGACCTCCTCTCCTCTGGAGGAGCAAATCTGGACCTCCTGTCCTCTGGAGGAGCATACGTGGACCTCCTCTCCTCTGGAGGAGCATACCTGGACCTCCTGTTCTCTGGAGGAGCATACCTGGACCTGCTGTCCTCTGGAGGAGCATATCTGGACCTCCAATCCTCTGGAACTGTATATCTGGACTTGTTGTCCTCTGGAGGAGCACATCTGGACCTCCAATCCTCTGGAGGAGGATACCTGGAGCTCCTGTCCTCTGGAGGAGCATACCTGGACCTGCTGTCCTCTGGAGGAGCACATCTGGACCGCCAATCATCTGGAGGAGGATACCTGGAGCTCCTGTCCTCTGAGCGTGGGGTACTCCTCCACTGACTCTCAGCATTAGAGGGGGTCCATTGATAAGGGGGGTGAGGGGCTCCCTTAGGTGGACCAGTGTGGTGGTGGTGTGAGCGCTGGTTTGTTCCTCTTGGAGGGAAAGGTCTGCTGGAAGAGGATGAGCAGAGAGGCAGATGTCAAAGACAGATGTGAAGATGTCAAAGACAGATGTGAAGACCCTACCTGTCGTTCCGGGACTCTTTAAAGTGGGACTGTCTCTCTTCTCTGCTGTCAGAGTCTGACGGGGTGAAACTGGGCCGATGTGAAGCGAGGCCTCTCATTGGCTCCTGCTCAGCCTCCTCCATCCCCTCATTACTGGTGGAAACAGACCCGTTAACGTTCTGCATAGTCAGCATGTAAAATAATGAGGTATTTTAAAGAGGGTCACCTCCTCTTCGGTCCACTTTGTAGGTCGTCCAGATAGTTCTGTCTCTCAACATCATGTCCCCGAGAGGAGTTGAACACTGAGAACAAAAGAACATTTAAGAAGCTTTCCTTTCATTGACGACACTTTAAAATAACCATCAGTACTCACACTCTACTGCCTCTTTAGGATCCATCCCATCAACATCTATGAGGTACCTGCAGGTCACACACAGCTGTTACACACCGTTCACACTACAGGTCAAACTACCTGAGGTTCAGACTGACTCACCTGCAGATCAGGTATCCGGTCCGGTTTAGACCGTGAGTACAGTGGACTCCAATCAGCTTGTCTGAAACAAAAAGGACGATCCTCAAGATGAATACAAAGTTTACTACTTTTCTCTCTTTCTGTAACAAACCTCCTCCTGCATGTTTTCTTTCCTAAAGAGACATTCGTCTGCTTTTCTTACACCAGTTACAGGTCCAACAAACCAAAACCGACATTCAGACTAAAATAAATAAATAAATCTAATCTAAATGAACCGACAGTGAAAATAATAGATAGTTGCAACCATCTGCTCACATGTTACATGTTAGGAACTAATGTTAGTAACATGTTAGTACATGTTAGTAACTGTTACTGACGTGTTACTAACACGTTATGTTTAAGTAGCGTATGTTAGTAAAGTATGTCAATAACATGTAACTAACATGCCAGTAACTTCTGTTAGTAAATTATGCTAGTCACTGATATTAGTAATGTGTTACTAACATGTTAGTAATTTATGTAACTAACATTAAAGTAACTTATGTTTGTTAAATACATGTTACTAACATACGTTACTCATGTTACATTAGTAACATTAATAACATTAGTTACTAACATGTGAGCAGATGTGTTCAAGTTACTAACATGTTATTAACGTGTTAGTAACTTGTTATTAAAAGAGCAAATGTTACTAACATGTTAGTTAACATGTTAACAACATGTTAACAACATGTTAACATGTTATTAACATATTATTACCATATTACTTACCATATCAGTTAATATTATGAACACATTAGTTAACACATTAGTTAACATATTAGTTAACATAGTATTACCATATTATTTGACAGATCAGTTAGCATATTATTAACATATTATTAACATGTTAGTAACAAGTTCTAACATGTTACCAACTTATGTTCATCAATCACCGTTCTCCGCGTTGTCTCGTAGAAACCTGCATACGGCGCGTTTGAAGCTCAGGATCGTGTCGTCGCTTGGAACCTCGTGACCGGCGGTGAAGATCTTCAAGACCAGCAGAGACTCTGGGATGTCCTGGAGAACGGAGAAGAACAACATGTAAACAAGTGTGTTACCTGAAGGGTGTTACCTGAAGTGTGTTACCTGAAGGGTGTTACATGAAGGGTGTTACCTGAAGTGTGTTACCTGAAGTGTGTTACATTAAGGGTGTTACCTGAAGTGTGTTACATTAAGGGTGTTACCTGAAGGGTGTTACCTGAAGTGTGTTACCTGAAGTGTGTTACCTGAAGGGTGTTACATGAAGTGTGTTACCTGAAGGGTGTTACATGAAGTGTGTTACCTGAAGGGTGTAGTAGCGTGTGGTGAACGTTAGGTCAACGATCAAACCGAGCTCTTGCTTTTCTGTGTTCAGAGCATCCAGCAGCTCCCACGGACCGAACACATCCGAACTCGGAAGCTGACGGTTCAGAGACTGAATGAACAAACACAGATGGTACAGATGTTAAAGATGTTACAGACGTTAAAGAGCAGCTCCAACAACAAGAAAGGTGAAACCAGACTTCTTGAATCCTGACCTGTTTCAGAGGAACTTTAAAGGCGATGAAACGCGTCCCGTCAAGTCGTTTCCCAACAGCTGAATAATCGAGCCATCTATTGACAAGAATCAACATCTCGGTTACTGAGGCTACATCCATACTACTCCGTCCCACAACGATCTCCGCCCACACGGCATTTCAGCATCGTTTTCGAATTGATCTCCGTCCAGACTAACACGCCTCAAAACGAATATCACGTGACTCTTCACGTACACTGGGCATGCGGGTGGTTGCTGATGTAAACAGGAAGTAGACTGATAAGTTTACTAATACTCACAGTGTAGTATTAGTACTTGTACTGATGATACTTTTACTACAGGAAGGTTATGAATGCGGTACTAATACTCACAGTGTGGTATTAGTACTTGTACTGATGATACTTTTACTACAGGAAGGTTATGAATGCGGTACTAATACTCACAGTGTGGTATTAGTACTTGTACCGATG